CAGTTAAATTCTTCTCTGATATAAAAGGCTTCCTGCTTTTAGGAACGGAGCATTCTCCAGATACTGAAACACAGAATGGGAAGCAAGATAAATATTCTGGATAGTATACTTTTTGATGGTTCTTATTTTTAATAATAAGCACTTTCCAGGTTTTTACTGTAAGATATTTATATGATCTCTACTTGAATGTGACAGATGAGCTGGTTGACAACCACATCCCATGATGGAGGGGCATGTTCAACATCAGTGTTGAGACAAATGTAGACACATAGAGCAATTAGTTTTAGGCATTTCAAAGCCTCTCATTTTTTCAATATGGTTACTATTTCACATCATAAATATGAGGATATTACAACTTCAGACACTTGAAAAATATCTTAAGGACTCAATCTGACAAATTCTGCTCTAAGTAAGGCATATTCTAGAGGTCTCATCCTTGCCTTCCCACCATGTAATTATAAAGGAAAGCAGAATCAGGCCTAGCCCAAGTTCAACCTGCCAAATGAGCTCACTGCATACATTCACATGAATAGGCAAATGAAATATACTGGCTTTCCAAAATATAATGCAGTTAGACCTCCACTGTGCAGACGATGCACAGAGAGCATTTTTGCTGTGTCTACCTCCAAAATGATTTCTTCTTGATAACTTTGAATTATCCATGTTGTTCCTTTTGTGAGATTCTGTGATGAATTCTTATCTTTCTTAAGTTTTATTGATCTTGCCTAGATTCAAACAAGTCTCCCCTGGGAGGTAAGGCTGTGACTCTTCTTTCTCTACCTAATTCCTCTAGTGTCAATCTTTGTTGGCTTCCTTGCAGAATGTGAAAGATTACTACATTTTGGGGTAACATTGTAAGCTTTCCTCTAAGATGAAGCCCTTCTTTAGCTTATGAACACAAAATGTGTAGTAAGTTCAATCCTTTCCTTAAAAAAAGGAAGAAAAAACAAGCTACCATTTCAGGTTAACCAGATTAAATTTAAAAAATAAATAAATAATTAGAAAATTCAGGAATGGAGGGGAAAGCAGGAGAGTTTTTATATTTTAGATCAACTCCTGGCAAGGCCAAAGAGCTATGCTGAGCAACACTTCTCTCTCTAGTCTGTAGCATACCTTTCTTCACCTTGTGGAGGTGAGCCCCAGCCTGGTTAGGAACAGAAGTCTAAATAGCAGGGGAGTTGACAAGGAGGGCTGGTACAGTGTCCTTGTGCTGGTCCATAAAGGGGTATATGTACAAGATGATTAGGGAATAGCAAATCAAAACAAAACAAAAAAAAATTATAGCAAGTGTCTGGTCCTGACTCCTGATTAGGAGACTCCAGTGGGAAACCAGTCCTAGGAGAGTTTTGCAAAACCTTCCAACAGAGCAGACAAGTGAGAAGGCTTCCTCTCCAGCAGAAATAATTGAATTTTCTAATTCTCTGCACACACTTGAACAAAAAATTTGCCACATGCAGCAGTGTGATTGATCATCCTAATCCCAGGGAAATCTACAATATAACAGATGATATGAAAATCAAGTTTCCTGGAGCTGCTGCTCTTAGAATCAGCCTTGTGGGGCTTCTATGAAGAGACAGAGGAGAGAGAGATTGAATGGCTTTTTTAAGCCACTTGTATTGCACTGTTTCAATGAGCAATGTATTTATGTACGTATCCAATGCATTTATGTATGTATCCTACTGCTTTTCAAATGTATTTTCCTGTTGACAAGGTTGTATTTAATTATCATCTTTCTTTTGGTGGGTTCAAGGGCCAAGTCTTAATCATATCTTTCTTTACTATTCACTTTATAGAATATTCCAGGATTCCAGGGCAGCCCGTTGTTACATATGTGCCATGCCTAACACAAAGGATCTACCAGCACAGGCAGGGCTTCTACCTATTATTCTAATAATTAAAAAAAAAAAAATTAAGCATTGTATATGAACTTTAAATAGAGAATGCCTTCAATTCAGAAGCACATTGTGTGTTCCACCCACCTCTCATGCAGTTGCACTATCTGTTTTCATCACATCAAACCTTAACAGCACATTTTTAAGTCTCAGTTCCAGCAGCTAATCAGCTCTAGCACTCTTTGGTGTCTGAGTCGATTTTTTTTTTGTTGTTTGGTTTGGTTTGGTTTTTGGGGGTTCTTTTGGGGGTTTTTTGGTTTTGTTTTTTTGTTTTTTGGTTTGTTTTTTTTTTTAATTCTTTATTTTTTGCAAGCTCTCACAGAGCTTGGGGATTTTTTTTTTTGGTTGCAGTTTGGGTTTTTTTGCTTGGTTGATTGGTTGGTTGGTTTGGGGAGTTGGGTTGTTTGTTGGTTGTTTGCTTAGTTCCGTTGCAGTCTGTTTCATTTTTTTAAAATGTCCCATCAATAGGTTAGCCAGTACTAATGTCCTGCTGTACGGTGGTTTGTAGCAATCTCTTGCCGTAAGGAGCGATTTATAATTGCAAACACGATTGTTTTGAGCTCTAAAAGAAATGTCAGCAACATTCAGTGCCATCAGCATTGACCGCTCGGCTGGGAATCCTACGCATCCTGAACTTGGTTTTCTTCAGAGAAAGCCCCTTCACCACTGGCTGTGCTACCTTGCGTAGCAACAGTTTGGATAACGTTTCTGACCAACGAGATCAGAATCAGCACTAATATCTTGATGGGAAACGAATATTTCGAGGTAGTTATTTACTTTGTCTAGCTACACGGGTGTTTTAAACGTTCGTTGTTCATTAATTCCTAACGATCGTCGCTTTGGGGTGGGTCAGCAGTGAGTTGTGAAACTTGACTGTGTGCTAACTACGGCATGTAGAACTACTCTTTCTGTTGTTTTTACCGTAATAAAAAAATAATAAAATAATAGTAGAAAAAAAACCAAAACCAAACAAACAAAAAAACCCCTTCCTCCGTTTTTGTGGGTTCGCATTTTTCTTCAGTTGCTTCTGTAACTCCAGCAACAATCTGGAGGGTAAAATGATAAAACAGAGAGAAGATTGCAAATGGTTTGATAAATGTGGTGAAAAGTAGATTAATTGCCGAATAACAATTTCTTATATAGTTATTTTTCACCTAGGAGACATCCTAGGCTGCAGTTACATGGAAAGGTAGTTTCTTTAGATGAATTTTAGTTCCATATTACAGAACCAAAGAAAGGGACATTAGTATGGCTGTTGCATCTGATCAAACTTTCACTAGTTGGGATTTAGAAAAAGGCGGATTTGCCTCTATCGGTATTGATTAATCTCGTGGCAGTAATCAAGTAAGGGTCTATCGAGTTGGAAATATTAGAATCAACAACCAAAGGAAGGTTTCGATATACATCATTAGTTATGAAAAACAGGCAAACAGAAACGACATATCATCACCCTGGACATCATCGATTCTGTGTGTCTCCGACTGGTTTTTAGCCACGTAGTAACTCACGGACTTAGAGGTTTTTAATTTCTTTAACTGTCATTATAAATTCAGATCAGAAAAGGGTCGGTTGTGTGACCCAGACCGTCAATTCGTCGCCTGCACCTTCCCAGGAACTACAGTTTGGGGAAATTTGAGCTGTGAAGTGCACCCGGCAGGTCCCCTTAAGTGCGTCCACTTGGTTACACCGCCCTTGCCACAACCTCGATAATATTCTTTTTTTTTTCCAAAGCAAGGACATCCTGTGAGACACCTCTTGCTACTTGACACTAATTCGAATCTGATTAAAAAGCGAGAGGAGAGGTCAAACAACTCTCCTAGATCATCGTCACGGCGAGAAAACTTCACAGAGCTGCAGGAGCCGCTTTCCCGAGCTCGGCTGGCGCCGGGACCGCCGCGGCACTGGCTCCCTGCCACAGCAGCTCCTCCCCGGCTGGGACAGAACGCCAGCAGAGGCCCCGAGCCACGGGGTTCTGAGTGCGCCGGGGTCCCCTCGCTGGGCTGGGGGATCTTTGCGCATCTATACCTACTTCCCACGGAAAGACAAATGGAAGAATAGCTGGAAAAGGAAGGAAACCCCCTTCTTATCTAGCCGAAACACCGATCGCTTTTTTCCCCACTGGGGAACCCGTTCTCGCACGGGTGAATTTCGTAATGACACAATTGTGGTTTTGATCTTTATTTTTAAAATAAAAACCATCGATGCACTCTAGGAAATACCTTTCTTTTCATACTGCCCAGTAGTGACTGTATTGAAAAGGCAGTAGTTTCAGCTTTCTGAAAAGGTTTATTTCCAACCTGGGGATATAAAGCGTGTGAACTTAGAAACCAAAGGACGACAAAAGCGTTTGCAAATATGTAAAAAAAAAAAAAAAAAAAACACTTGTTACTCTAGGATAGCAGATAAAATCGTCCCACGAGATTTCGAGGGGCGGGATTAGCACAAGAGACAGCTTGTCTTGTTCTGTAAAAACATCACACAAGCCCCAGTTTGAGAACCAGCTAGCACAAAGAATGTAAGAGAGAATTTGGGGTGTTTTTTCAAAAGAGGAAAAAAAGTAGGAAAGTCACAGCTTAGGAACCACATCTCAGTAAAGGTGTCTACATTTTGATAGTGTCAAAGATGGGGAAAGGTTACTCTGAGGGATATTAGAGGTGGAGAGTTTGAGATAGAGGAGCACAACGCGGCCTTCGCCTTTACCAATCTGTATAAAACTGACTCGGCTCACGGTACAGAGACCGCCCCGGCGCTTGGGGCAGATGTGGGGACGTAGTCCCCGTGAGCTGAGGCAGAGCATGGGCTCCCCTCTAATACACGAACGGGATAATTCGGAAGGGAGGCAGGCAGAACGAGTCCCGGTCTCTTTGGTGGCTTCGTGTTATCTCCTCCATCCTGACTACAGAAAAAAACCGCTGCAAGAGCAAGGGCGGTCTGGCAGCGCCCTTCCGAGCTTTAGCAACACTTTGGTAGCCCACGGACACGAGTGGGGGGAACCGGAGCGGCCCTTCCGTCGGCTGTGGTGACGACTGACAACCCAGCGGCACGGCGGGGTCATAAATAACATCGGGCGGCCCCCGGCGAGGGGAAGGTCGGGGGCCGGGGGAGAGGCTATACGTCCCCGTCCAACAGGCTGAAGTGTTTGCCCGGCCCGGGGAGGCAGAGGTAGGGGATGGCGCTGCCCGGACAGAGCAGGGGCAAAGGCAGCGGTAGCAAGCACCGACTGAGCAGGGGACTGTCCTTGTAGAGGGCCGGGAAGGAAAGAGACGTGGCGGTGGCGGGGGGCGGCGGGTCCCCGGGGGGCTCCGCCGGCCCCGGCCCAGGGCCCTCCGCCTCGGACGACATTTGTCTCTTGAGCTTGTTGCGGCGGTTTTGGAACCAGATCTTCACCTGGGTCTCGGTGAGATGCAGCGCGGCGGCCAGCCCGGCCCGCTCCGAGCTGCTCAGGTAGCGCTTCACGTCGAAGGTGGACTCCAGCTGGAACACCTGGCTCTTGGAGAAGATGGTCCGCGTCTTCTTCCTGCCGCCAGCCGTCGGCAACCTCCCGTTCTCCGCGCCGCAGCCTCCGGCCTCTCGCGTCGGTGGCTGCCGAGGGGAGCGCAGCCTCTCCTTGGGGAGCGAGGACGCCGCATCCCAACCCTCGGCCTCGCGGCGGAGGCCACGGCTCGTCCCTTCTGCCCGGAGCCGGCTGGACTCGCTGCCTGCAAGGGCAAAGCACAGCATCAGTGCCCGCCGCCGCCCGCGCCCCCGCCCCGCATGCACGCACGGCCCGGCGGAGCGCAGGGAGAGGGTGGGGGAGAGGGTGGGGAGGGGGCTGCCGAGGGCTGGCCGCGGTCCCACACCCTCCAGAGGGGAGAAGAAGAGTGAGGCGCTTCCATAAGGATCTAAGGAAATCCCTTTGCCAGCTGTGTGACAGGGAAGTAAGGGGCTCCCGGGCACGGGACAGACAACCCGGGAGGAGGGCGCAGCGCCCTCAAAGCAGGTTGGTGCGTGTGCGGTGGCATCTCCCCGCGTCCTCCCGCGGAGCCTCCGTTCCTCCTCCGGCTGCGGGCGCGCCGCGACTGCGTGTGCGTGTCTGTGTCTGCGTGTGCGTGTCTGTGTCTGTGCCTGCGCGTCCGTGTGCTCGGGCCCAGCACGGCGGCACCGGGGATACCCGGAGGTACCGCCTGGGTGGGGGCCGGGCTGCGACCCGACGTGCGAGACAGCCTGAGGCGGCTGCTGGCTCCGTACCCGAGTCTCTGGAGCCTTTATTGGGGTCTTGCTCCGCAGGCCCCTCTCCCTCCTCCTCCTCCTCCTCCTCCTCTTCCTCCGGCGGGGCGCAGCGGGCTCTGCCCTGCTCCTGGGATGGGCGGCAGGGGCCGGGCTGCAGAATGCTGGCGATGCTGAAGGCCGGCGGCGCGGCCGGGGTCGGCGGGGGGGCTCGGCGGCCGCTCCCGAGCTGCACCATGGCGAGGAGAGCCCGAGCCGAGACGAAACGCTCTGAGCCGAGCCGAGCCGAGCCGAGCCGCAGGACTGGCGGCGGCTGCGGGAGGGCGGCAGCGGCAGCCGGGGCGGAGGGAAGGAGGAGGAGGGATCGGAGCGACGGAGGGAGGGGATGGAGCTAGAGGGAGCCAAAGGACTGAGGACGGGGGGGAGCGGTGCAGGGGAGGGAGAGAGGGAGAGAGAGGGGAGGCGGCAGAGAAGAGAAGGAAAAGGAGCAGGGGCTAGAGGGGAGCAGGGAGAAAGTGAGGGGCGGGAGGCATGCCAAGGTGCCCCGAAAGGGTGCCCTCGACAGGCGTGGCGGGGCAGGGCTGGCTGCTCTCCTGCCCAGGCCCTTCACTGTAAGTGGGTGGAGAGAAGAAAGAGTCAGATCCAGGAGAGCCCACGGGAAAGGCGAAGAGGACATGGGATGGCAGGACAAACATCTCTGGATTGAAGGAGAAGGATGTAGGGAGAAGACTGGAAATAAGAACAAGGGAATGAGGCGGAGCGTGGCGAGGAAAAGCAGTGATGGTAGTGAGAGAGGACAGAAGAAAGAGGAAGCTGGGGGCCGCGAACCCCTTCCCTGTGTTTGTACAGCACGCGGCAGGACCCCAGGCAGTCTACTGAGGGCATGTGCTGCAGATTGTCCATGCCTATGTCCGGGAATTGGGTAGACTGTGGAAGAGTAATTCCTACAGCCAGAGTCACTTCTCCGTCCTCCTTTCACGTGCAGACCCTCAGACTGAATGCGCGGTTCCCCTGGGGAGAAAGCGATCCCTTTTCCTTCTGAGGAGCCCCGAGGTGGCTCCCTGCCACACCACACCGCACTCCACCCCCTCCCCGCGGGTCAGCAGAGCTCTTCTGTAACTTTCAAGTGAGAAAGTGCTGGCCGGGTGCGCGGGTGTGTGTGAGTACTCCAAGGTGTGCCTCTGGGGGACGGAGAAGCGTTCCCCTGAGCTGTGGAACTTGGAGGAGGATCGATGTGTTTCTGTATTATCTTGAGAACTTTTACTCACCACCACCTCCCAGCACTGCAAAGTTTTATAACGAGTTTGCACTACTCGAGGCAGGACGTCCAGCGATTTTAGAGCCACCATCAGCTGTGGATCGCAGGGAAACCTCTCCCTCCCTGTGATCCTGTGTGAAGCCAGGGGAATGCTTCCAAACAGCTTTTAAGAGGGTTTTTAGTCCGAATCTCGAGGTTTCCACCACGAAAACTGCTGAGGGCAAGCGAGAAGCCCTTGAAAAAGAGTTGGCAATAGAAGTGCTGACAGGCTTTTAAATATTGTGATGCCAGAGATTCCATGAGCTAAAATCAGGACATCTTAAGGCTTTGGACTACTTTAAACTTTAACACAGTGGTACTTGAGAGAGAGGGTTTCAGCTCTTTTTCATGAATTTTGTTTCACTTTATAAATTCACTCAGATTTTAATGGAGCCGTCTGCTGGAGAGCTGTACATTTTCCACCAGGAAAAAAAAAATCCTTCTTCCATCAACACTGTTGTTGGCCAAATGCCCAAAATTGTTGCATTTGTCTTGCAGTCTCCTATAGAAACTGGTGGTTTTAACGGAGCAAAATATCCATTTAAGACGCAGTGTTATGCCGAGGAATGGACCAGGGTTTAGAGGTACGAATTGCGAAGAAGCAGCTGAAAATACAATTTAGGAAATTGTGAGTGAGGTGGTAAAATTAGGAGCATGGGAGACTTGGACACCAGGATGGTTGCTTCTGCACTTCTGTCTCGGCCTCTCTTCCCGCTGTCTGTGAATGAGACACTTTCCAGGTGCTCACATCTGTTCTTGCTGCAAACCATTTCCCTTTTAGTCCCGAAAAAAAGAATTCATCTTAAAAAGCCAATGCCTTGACTCAGTGTGTTTTCCTAGAAGACATTTTCTTGGAAAAAAAAAAAATGAAAACTTGAGGAAGACAGAAATTAAGAAGGAAAATTAAGAAGGAGACATAAGTTTTATCATCCAATTTTTTTTCACCGCGCCCCCCTCCATGCCTCGAGAAGTCCAAGCCCAGCTCTGGGAGACCCTGCCCGGTAACACCCCACCGTGAAAGGTTTGTCATCCTTCCCCAGCCCCATTTGGCCGGCTTTTCAAAACTGATTTTTTTTTCCCTGACAAACTCCGTGCAGTGAGGGAGAACGCTACAATACCGGATCTCCTCAGCCACTGGGGCAAGTTGGAATCAATTCACTGGCCACAAGAGGACCGGGGGGGCCTCCGAGGTCCTCCCTGCAGTGAGTCCTACAAGCCAGATCCACACCGGCTCCTCATGCCCTCTGCTAGGGTCACCCTTATCTTCAGGGGAAAGTAAAGACCAACAGGTAGAGTGTATCCTGCAAAACCCCAACAACCACCTGCTAAGTGCCCTCCTACGGAGAGAGCGGGGCTGCCGCGGTAGAGGGCAGCGAAACCCCGCGGGTCTGCTCCAGGCCCCCAGCATCCCTCTCTGAGCCCCGGCCCGCCCGCATTTGACCCAGAGATGATGTGAAGAACGATGTCCGCCGGGGCGACGGGGCAAGAGTCCTTGCCAAAATTCAGCGGCTTTTTCGTGCGCATGGTTCCCGGGACGCGTGGAACCCCGTCTTCCCGGGGGAAGAGATTCGGCTGAGAGCAACCGTGGCTTTGGCCTTAACCTTAATCTTCGCTTTCTGCGAGGATTAGCTGCCAGGGTTGAGCCAGCAACGGGGACCTGGTTGCCAGAGAGGGGGTCCCGCGCTGTTCATCCTCCGCAGCACCTTTCTGCACCGTCGCGATTCACTCCCAGGCTCCGAAAGGTGTCGATTGTATGCAACAATTTTTCTTATAGTAGGTAGAGGTTTTCCGACACTGGTACTTGTTACGCCCGTGCTTCATTTGTACTTTATTTGTGAGGAATGTCGTTGTCTGGGACGCGTGAGGATACACAGTGGCCGGTACCTCACAGCTGCAGGGCAGGAAGAGCGAGTCTTTTCCTTTGAATAATAAAATCCTGTAATAGAAGCTAACATCGTGCAGAGTGGAAACCTTTTACCTGGGAAAGCTTTTTACCAGAAAAGCTGGTACACGCACCTATATTTCCATTTCAGCTCAGAGTACAAAAAGTCTCATACTCTAAATCTGATGGAAATGAAATCTGATTAGATGGTGCAGAAACGCCGAAGAGTCTGGTTTCGCTTGGTTTACAGAATCGGGCTTGTTTTATCCCCCGATGTACTCGAGGGTAAAATAGGCCCTCCCTGGATTTCACATCCCCTTGCAAATAAGACCCTGGCAATTGCGAACATAGCAACAGTGGTCTTTAAGCCGTCTCCGATGCTTTTCATGGGACACAAACCGGGTGAGTGGGTCCAGAATAGAAGCGCTGTCTGAAGAGGTCATTAAAATCACTGGACGAATGTGGGTATCTTGGCGCTGCCGGTCTCTAAATAAAACTCCCTTTGGCGTTTCAGCAGTGGTTGGATATGAATCGCCGGTTGCTGTTGCCGTTTCCCCCCTCCACGCCGGGTCCCCGACGCCGCCACCGTGGAGCAAACAGTGGTTCAGGGCAACGGGGATATCCCTCGCCTGAGCCGGGCATCCCGGGGAGGGAGAGGAGAGAGGGGAGGGAAACGGTTTCACTAGCTGGAAAGCAACTGTCCCTGGAGTTCCACAGGAAAAC